TGTAAAAAAATCAAAATAAAAATTAAATTGTTGTTTTATTAAAAAAATCAAAATAAAAAAAATCAATTTCAAACCTCTTGGAAATTTTTATTTCCAAGAATAATTAAATTTTTTCTTTTTTTTTTTTTTTATTTTAATTTTTTATATTTTTTATTTTTTTTTATTTTATTTATTAAACTATAGTTTTTTTATTTCTAAATAAAAACACCCCTTTATAAATTATTTTATTATTTGTAAGTGTTAAAAATTATTATTAATTTTTTTTTATTTTTTTTAATTTTTATTTTTTTAATTTTTTTTATTTTTTAAATTAATTAATTTTTGTAATTGTGTGTTCAATATTTTAATTTTATTTTTTTTCATACAACATAAAAGAAATAGGAATTAAAAAAATGGATTCAACAGTAGATTTTTTAAAACAAACATCAATTAAAGAGATAATTAAACCAAAAGAAATGGTTATAGTTAGATCTTCAAGCAAATATATAGATACCATGGAGTTAATGAGCGAAAAACATATTTATTCAGCACCAGTATTAAATGAAGATGGAAGAGTATCACAAGTTATTGACCTTTTAGATATGATACATTTTATTATAGAGTTTTTGGGACTAAACATTCCAGAAAATTTAAAGAAATTAAAAAACCAACCTAGAGAATTTACAGATATTTTAACAAGTTCAGGCAATCTTTTCTCAACATCAACTATTCAAACTGTTATTGGCGATAGGAAAATAGATAAACTCGTTGCATGTAGAGAAAACACATCACTTTATGACATCATTTTAACTTTTAACGATCAAATTAGCAAAGTCTTTGTATTAGATAGAAAGAGTGAAATTATTAATTTGATTAGTCCAACTGATATTTTAGCAATGGTTGCACAAAATATTCATGTCTTGGGGTAGATATTAAGTTCATAATTCATCACAAACTATTTCTTTATTTACTAATTCTTTTATTTATATCCATAGTACAACCAGATTTAGAACCATTCAAAATTTAGGTGTTGCTGTCCCATTCAAAAGAACCTATATTAAAGATGAAAGGGTAATATTAATATTAAAAGATTTTATTGATAATAATTTTAATGCAGCACCCATCGTAGACGATGATAATAAACTTATTGCCAACTTTTCAATTTCGAATATCAAAAATTTAAATCAAAATTTCGATGATCTAATGTTACCAGTTAAAGACTTTTTAGAGTATCAAAATATTAGAGAAAAGAAGAAATATATAACTGGTTTACATGAAAGTGTAAGTTTATTTTATATGATTATTATTATTATTATTATTAACATCATTTAAATATTAATTCTTTTCAGTCTTTACATCCATTAACAGTTAGCACTAATGATACTTTAGAGAATACTATTTTTAAAATTGTTGCCACCAAAGTTCACAGATTATGGGTAGTAAATGACCAAAACACACCAATCGCAATGGTTACCATTGACTCAATTTTAAAAATTATTACCTTAAAATCAATGGATATTGATTCATAAGAAATAACACTTAATAAACCAATAAACATATATTATCGTATAAATTAAATAAATAAACAAAACTAAATTAAAGAAAATAGATAACTATATATCTATATTATTAATAGCATTTTTATTAAATATATGTACATTAAATCTTTATTACTAATATAACCCACCATCGACTTGAATAGATTGACCAGTAATATAATCAGACTCTATTAAAAACAATGCGGTTTTAGAGATATCCTTTAAAGTATTAAAAAATAAATTTAGTATTAGTACAACACGTGATGTTACAAATTATTTATTTTTGTTTTTACCTTTGTATTACCAATTCTCTTTAATGGTATAGAGTCTATTAATTGTTGGTTTATGTAATCCTTGGACATGTCTGTATCGATGAATCCAGGTATAATTACATTTGATGTGCAGTTATAGTGACCAACTTCTTTAGATAGTGATTTTGAAAAACCCAATAAAGCACTTTTAGTGGATGAATAAATAGTTTGACCTTTATTGCCCATTTCACTGACCACAGAGCCAATAAATATAATTCTGCCGTATTGCAATTTCATCATATCTTTTAAAAATGGTTTGGTTAGTTGTATTGGTGATAATAGATTGGTGTGGAGCATTTCTTCGATATTGTTTTGTTTGCTTCTAATAAATAATTCATTGTGTGATACACCTGCTGAATGAACGAGTATGCTAATTGGTCCAAATTCGTTTTTAACTTTAACTAAACAATCTTGAAACTCTGTGGGGTTATTTGAAATAGTTGATAAGTCGTGTACTATACCAAAATGTTTTTGATCTTTATGTAGAATCGGCAGTTGTCCTAATGCATTATCGTTAGATTCCCTATTTCTGCTCCATATGCAGACATTCGCACCCCTATTGGCCAAATCCCTCGCTATTTCCAGTCCAATACCTCTAGAACCCCCCGTAACTATAGCATTTCTACCAAATAGTAAATTATTCAAATTATTCAATGAACATCTAAACATTTTACTATTTTAATTATTTTTTCTTTTAATTTTAATAAAAAAAAATAAAAAAATTTTAATTTTTTTTTTTTAATTTTTTATTTTTTCATTTCATTTCATTTTTTTTTTTTTTTTTTAATTTCACTAATATTGTAATGATTAATTTTAATAATTTAATAAAAAAATCAAATACTTTATTAATAAATAATCATAATAATTTAAATTTAATTAGAAAAATGTCAGGAATTGCTGGAAAAGAAGTTTTAGATAAATTAAATCGTTTAGTACCATTAAATTTAGCCGAAAAATGGGATAATGTTGGATTATTAGTAGAACCTTCAAATACCAACTCTTTAAAAATCGAAAAAATCTTTTTAACAAACGATTTAACAGAGCCAGTATTACAAGAAGCAATTGATGGTAAAGCCAACTTTATCATTTCATACCATCCACCACTTTTCAATCAATTCAAGACTGTTAACCAAAAATCAATTCCACAAAGAATTGCAATCAAAGCAATTGAAAATAAAATTCCAGTTTACTCACCACATTCAGCATTAGACTCATGTACTGGTGGTTTAAATGATTGGATTGCTCAAGCTCTCATTCAAATGGGTAATGGTAAAGGTCATGTTAGATCAATCACCCCATTCATGGAAAATCCAACCACCTCACACAAAATTACTTGTTATTTAAACGACAGTCACTCATCTCTTCCAACTGATGCTTTCTCACAATTAAAACTAAACTCTACATTCCAATATGTCGATAATAAAAGAATCGAATTATCATGCAACCAAACACAATTACCAGTTCTTTTAAGTTTAGTTCAATCATTAAACAAAGTATGTATTGATAGGCCTATAGTCTAAAATAAAAATCAATTTATAATTAACATTTCTTTTTTTATTTTAAAGGAAATTTATCATTACGATATTTCAGTTTCAGAAAAAATCCCATCAATGGCTAAAGGAGGTGGTAAATTAGTCACATTAGAAAATGAAGTTGATATCGATACAATTATCAGTGGTGTAAAGAAATTATTTAAATTAGAACATATTAGATTAGGTAGACCACTCGATACCACTACAACCAAAAAAGTTAAAACCATCTCATTATGTGCTGGCAGTGGTGGTTCATTAATCTTCAATGAAAAGGCCGATCTTTACTTAACAGGTGAATTAACCCACCATGTAATTTTAGATGCCTGTGCCAAAGGTAGCTACGTTATCGTTTGTGATCATTCAAATTCAGAAAGAGGTTATCTTGATGTCTTTAAAACAAATTTAGAAAAACTTTTCGATAACAAAATCGAAATTTTAATTTCAAAACTTGACAAAGATCCATTAGAAATTATTTAAATTATGGAAATAAAAAAAAAAATAAAAAAATAAAATAATAAAAAAAATAAAAAATAAAACAAATAGAAATATATATATATTTTTACAAAGATAAAAAAAAAAAATAAAAAAATAAAAATAAAAATAAATAAAATAAAAATAAAAATAAAATAATTAAAACAAATCTTATTTTTTATATTTATAAAATAACAATGTTGTTGTATTTGTAAAACTAAAAAACAGCTCTTATTTGTAAAACTATAGTATTTCACCACACCACCTCACACCTAATATTTTTTTTCACACACACCACACCACCAATTTGGTTTCTTTTTTTCTTTTTTTTATTTAATTTTTTTATTTTTTTTAAAATTTTATTTTTTAAAATTTTATTTTTAAATTTTTTTTTCATTTCTAACAAACGATTTTTTTTTTTTATTTTCTATTTTCTTTTTAAACAATAAATTTATTTTACCCAGGTTTTTAGAAAAAAAAAAATATAAAAAATCATATTTTATTTAGATAGATAATAAATAATTATAAATAATTATAATTAGATTTACATTTAGGGTAACCACTATATTGTTTTTTTCATTATTATTTTTTATTATTTATACCTTAAAAGATATATCTTTTTGTAATATTAGTTTTATTTTTAATTATTTTTTAAAAATTATTTTTTTTTATTGTATTGTTTAGTTTTAAATTTTATATATATAAATAGTTTTTATTGTTTATTGTTTTATTTTATATTATTTTATTTTTTTCAATTTCACAATTTATAAGCAGTATGGAGAATGGACCCAAATACAAATAATAAATGGGCAGCTATAGGAATATTAAGTAATGTAGGAAAAGACTTTATAGCGGGTTCAGTAGGTGGAATGTCATCAGTAATGGCAGGCCACCCATTTGATACAATTAAAGTAATGTTACAAGATGCTTCAGGTAATTTACCAAAATTTAAGAATGGTTATCAAGCATTAAAATATACAATTAAAGTGGACGGTGTAAGTTTTTTTTTTTAAATTAATTAGCAAACAAACCAATAGCAAACATCAACAATAATATTTAGCAAATTAATAAATGGAATATGTAGTATTAACAAATTGTTTATTTTAGTTTAAAGGCATTTATAGGGGTTTATCAGTCCCGTTAATTTCAGTGTCATTTACAAACTCGATTTTCTTTGCGACTAATAACTTTTTTCAAAATTTTTTTCATCCACCTTCAAATATACCGGGTGAAGAGAATTTAATACCTTATCACAAGTAAGTTAAATGTTTGCATATTGCTATTATACCTTTTTATAAATTAACTCTCTCTTTTCTTTTCTTTTTATTATTTTTTTTTTTTCTTTTCTTTTCTTTTTTTCTTTCTTTTCTTTTCTTTTTTTTTTCTTTTTTTTCTTTTTCTCTTTTTCTTTTTAATCTTTTTTTTATTTTTTTTTATTATTTTTTTTTATAAAAAAAAAGAGCTGCAGCGGCAGGAGCGATAGCAGGTGGTGTTATATCATTATTTATTACACCAAGAGATTTTATTAAATCAAAATTACAAGTTCAAGGTAGACCTTTTGGATCAACTAATGTTTCAATTCAATATAAAGGACCTGTCGATGTAATTAGAAAAACAATTAAAAATCATGGTTTTTTCGGAATGTTTAAAGGTATAAGATCCACTTTTTGTCGTGATGTACCAGGTGATGCTGCTTATTTTGTAGTGTACGAGTTTATGAAAAGAAAGTTATTAGCTATCTCTAAAAAGAAACAAGAAGAGAAAAACAAATTAAATGGTGTTGATGCAGCATTATCACCAATTAATAGTAAAACAGGAGTACCAGCATGGGTAGCCATAGGTGCTGGTGGTTGTGCAGGTATGTCTTTTTGGGCCTCAATTTATCCAATGGATGTAATCAAAACTAGAATTCAAACACAACCAGATCACCTACCACAGCAATATACTGGCGTTATTCAATGTGCCACCAAACTTTACCGTGAGGAAGGTATCTCTGTTTTCTTTAGAGGCTTTGGTGCTACAATTCTTAGATCATTCCCTACAAGTGCCATGAATTTCCTAATGTACGAAACTACTAAAAACTTATTACATTCAAAATTTAATACAAAAGATGAAGATGAACATATTTATAATGCTGAATAAGTTTATCAATATTATTATTATTAATAGTAATATTGATGATCATTATTTAGAAATCTATAATATTTCATTCATTTTTTTTTATATTTTTTTTTTAAAATATGTATATGTGTATATTTAAATATATATATATAATATATAATTTAATATAATTTATTAAAAAAAAATTAATCGAATAAAAAAATATAATTCTTTTATAATTTATTTTTATTTATTTTTTTTTTTCGTTTTTTTTTTTTTTAAATTTTTTAAATTTTTAAAATTCATTAATTTTATTTTTAAAAATATGGAAACAGATAATAATAATAATAATAATAATAATATAAATTTAAGTTTAAATAATTATATAATAAATAATGACAGTTTTGAAATTAATTTAGATTATATAAATCAAAATAATGTAATAAAAGAATTGGGGGATTGGGAAGATGTCTATTCATTACCAACTAGAATGACGTTAGACTCCTTTTGGTTCACAATGCAAAAATGGAGTATGAATCCATCCTATATGATTAGAAATGTAAAAAAATTCAGTTTAATTAATAAATCAACATATAGTGCAGAGGAGAAATTATTATCAAAATTTGTATTTGAAAAGAATTTATCGGGTATTTTTTATGAAAATGAAATCAATACAATCAATAAACCTCAAAATGGTCAAAATAATGATGATAGTCAAGAAGAGGAAGATGAAAAGGAAGAAAAGAAACATAAAAATGATGAAAAAAAGAAACCAAATAAACATGACAATGATGGTGAAAATGAAGAAGATGAAAATATATTTTATAATAAAGAAATCTATACAAAAGATAATAACGAAAGTGAATTAACAGAAGAGTATTTAGATGACAATGTTCAAACCATTGTTTACAGAAGACATTTAATACCAAGATTGTTAAATAGAGACCCAACGATTGATGAACTTATCATACATCATAAATCAAATAGTTGTGTTCAATTTATTCCCTTGCTACCAAAAGAGGATAACAAGAATTCAAGATTATTACCATTCTTATATCCAAAAGTTTTAGGTTTCAAGATTCAATATCAAAAATTAGATCAAGAAAAAGATAAAGAGTTTATTGAACAGTTATTAAAGAATGAAAAAGAAGAAAAAGAAAAGAACCAAAAGCAATCAAAGAAACAAAAACCAAAGCCAAAGGAAAAAATTATCTGAAGAGCAACAAAAAGAAGAATTTGAACAAGGTGAAGATAATCAATTTAAAGCAATTTTAAAAATTCAAGTTATTTATTTTTCAAATTTCAAACCAAAGTTTGATAGAGTCTCAAAATCAATTTTAGAAAAGATTAATCGTTGGGGTATAAATTTTGAAATAGGTTATAAAAAGAAAGCAAATCTTGATCAAATTATTCCAAAGAATATATTTTTAGCACAGTATGAGGAAATGAAACCAAGATATAGAAATATGGTCGAGGGTTGGGAAGATGTCACCAAAACAGATCCACAAAAGTTCATATATGAAGATGTAGCAATAGCAGCATACTTAATTTGTATTTGGAGAAAGGAAAATGAAGAGCTTGGCAAAACTACTAAACAGCGTTTTATAGATATAGGTTGTGGTAATGGTTTATTGGTAAATATTTTAAATAAGGAAGGTTATGATGGTGTTGGTATAGACTTAAGATCAAGAAAAATTTGGAGTAGATACGATGCAGAGGTTCAAAAGAATTTAATTGAAGAGGCAATTTTCCCAAAAGATACCTATTATCCAGATTATGATTGGATCATTGGAAATCATTCAGACGAACTTACACCATGGGTACCCTACATTACAAGTAAATTACCAAATCAAAAATTCTTCCTTTTGCCATGTTGCTTTTTCAATTTTTGTGCTAAATTTAAAGACAACGACGTTCGTATTGGCCGTTATGCTTCATATTTAAATTATATAGAGAAGGTTTCAGTCGAATGTGGTTTCAATGTTATTAAGGAAACTCTTAGAATCCCATCAACTAAAAATATAGCTTTCATTTCAGATTTCCGTAACCCACAACTAACCGAAGAGCAATTAGTAGAAAGACGTCAAAACTTATTAAAGTCATCAAACTATATAGATTTTAAACCAAGAGAAAGAGAGATCAAATGGGTAGCTCAAAAAAGATATAGAGTGGATCAATTTAATCCTCACTTGGATCCAAATAATCCAGAAAATCAAAAAAGAATTGAAAGATTAAATAATAATAATAATAGCAATAATAATGATAATAATGATATTAACTAAAAATAATGTAATAAAATTTTTTCTTATTGAAATTTAATTAATTTAATTTTTTTTTTTAACAATTAAATAAATTACTCTTTTCTTGTTTCTTTTTGGTATTAGTTTGTTTAGCAAGTATTGCAAAAGCACAAATAAGTTCAAACTCTCCACTATATGACGATTGTATGGCCAAATGTAACAAAGTTGTAAGCTGTGTTGATAAATGCATATTGGACTCCTTGGGACCAAGAAGATTTAATGGTATAAACTAAAATTAAAACTATAGTTAACCAAATATTATAAATAAAGATTAAATATTACATTTATACAAATAAAATTTAATAAATAAAGGAAAAGAATAATTTTTTAGTTAAAAACCTTATAAAAAAATTTTATTTATTAATTTTAGTATTAATAACGATTAGAAAAAAATAAAGTTTAGAATAAAAAAAAATATATAATTGTAATGCCTATTGATAAAATATAATGGCGATGGGTATTTAATGGTAGAATGAATATGTTGTGGATAATATGGTTGTGGAGCAGCTTGTTGATAGTATGGATAGGTTTGGGCTGGAACTGGGGTAGAGTTAAAGAATTGAAGTTTTGAATCAATACGTTGAAGCTTTGTTAATAAAATGACTCTTTTCTTTTGTAATGATTGGTGTTTGTATTGAAGTTTTCTTTGTTTATAATCATCATTAGAGTAATTGGTGGTTGGGGCAATGTGGCCATGATGACGACCATATTTAGCTTTCTTTGCACATTTCTTTTCACATTTCTTTTCGACTTTTGATGTTTTTGTATCATATTTCATTGATTTCTTAATTTCTTTTAGTTTGGATTTTTCTTGTTTTATTGAACGTTTGAAATTCTTTAAATAAGTTTTTCTTTCTTTCTTATCTTTTGGTAAATTATCATAAAATTCTTTGATAACATTTCCAGTTGTTTCATTGTTTGTTAAAACGAGGGCAGTATTGGTAGTGGTATTTGAAGAATCAACTGTAGTCATTTTAGAATCGTTGTTGGAGCTACTGATTTTAATATCATCAACTTTAAGTGTTAATTGACTAATATTATTTAATTCTTCAACTTGTTGTTCTTGTTGTTCTTGTGATTGTTCGTTTATTTTGTCAAACATCTTGCTTTTTTTTTTATTTTTTTTTTATTTGTTTTTAAAATATAATTTAGAGTTATTATTAATTATTTGTATAAAATTTGTATGAGTAAAATATAAAATTTTTTTGGTTTAAATAAAAAAGATTTTTTTTATTTTAAAATAATAAAAAAAAAAAAAATTAATTTTTTATTAAACTTAAAAAATTAAAAAAATAATTATTGAAAATTTGATAATTAATCATTCAAAGAAAAAAGATTAAATGTTTCTATTTTTTTTATCACAAAAATTATTATAATAATAAAAATATAGATATTTATTGTTTAATATATTTAGAATGATTGTATATTTCTATTTATTAAATGTATAAAAAAAATAAAAATAAAAATAAAAATAAAAAATAAAAAATAAAAAAAAATTTTATTTTTTTTAATTTTTATCATTTTTTTTTTTTTTAATTTATTTTTAGTTTTAAAAAGAAATACTAATTTGTTTTTCTCAATGGAAAAAATATTAAATGTAGCTTCATTAAAAAACTATGTCTCAAGTTTAAACTTACCAAATATAACCATTTCTAAACCATATGAAGTTGGTAGATATTCATATGATAATCATCGATGTGATTATCCAGTCGAATTGGTAAATATACTTTTATTATTATTTATTATAGTTTTATATAAATATTAATTTATTATTTTAAAAAGAGTAAATTTAAAAAACCAATTATAGATGAAAGTTTAATCAAGGATTTTAAAGGAAAGGAAAGTATCCCTCAAAATAATGATACACCAATAATGTTTATTTTGGATACGCTAATGAAAAACGATTACGATGTTTCAAAGTGTTCATTTATAAGCTATAGAAATTCTTTTAGGAAAATATTTGAATCAATTAACAGTTCCAAAATATTTAATAGTTCTTGGTCAATTCATATTCAAAGAGTATCTTCAACAATTCATTTAGGTATGAATAATACAATAAATAATAATAATAATAATGCAGAAAAAAATGACGCTTTAAAATCAATGTATTCAGGATTTGCATTTGAAAATTTATCAAAAGAAACTCAATATCAAAATAATTTTTGTTCAATAGTATATTCTAGATTATATAATAATAATTTTATTTTAGCTTGTGAAATTGATTGTTATGATAATAATAATAATAATAATAATAACAATAATAATAATAATAATAATACAGAAAATAATCAAAATAAAGAAAAAGATTTTAATATTGACAACTATATCGAACTAAAAGTTACAAAAGAAACAGATCAAAGTGGGAAATATTTTAAAAACAAATTATTATCTTATTGGTTCCAAAGTTATATTGCAGGTTTGTATTTTTTATTTTTTATTTTTTATTTTTATTTTTTTATAAAAAATATTAACCCAAAATTTTTTATTCCGTAGGAGTACCAAAAGTTATAGTTGGATTTAGAAATGATTCATTTCTTTTAAAAGGCTTTAAAGCTTTTGATACAAATTCATTACCTCGATATTCTTATCCTTTTTGGGATAAAAATATGGTTTTAGCATATGGGAACGAAATTTTAGAATTTATCAAAAATAACACAACAAGCGGGAAATCTTATAGATTAGAATTTGATTATCCAAATTTAAAACTATTCGAATCAAAAGAAATATCATTATTATCAGATGACTATTTGGACTATTTTAATAATAAAATTAATATTATTAATAATAATAACAATAATAATAATAATAATAATAATAATAATAATAATAATAATAATAATAATAATAATAAAAACTTTAAAGAAAAAAGATATATAGATATTGATAATAGGGATATAAAAAAAAATAAAACTTAAATTATATATTAATATAATTATTATAAAGAATAAATTTTAAATCATTTTTTTTAAAAAAAATAAAATAAAGAAACTTCTTCATTGTTTTCGGATGAAGAATTATTATTTTTTTTATAAAAAATTTTAAAATTTTATATTTTTTAGTTTTTAAAAAAATATCTTTTTTTTTATTTTTTTATTTTTTTTTTATTTTTTTAAAAAATATTGTTTCAAAGGTTTTTTATTTTTTATTTTTTTTTTAATCATTGTTCCGATAATATAAATAAAAATGAATAAAATTTATACATTTTTATTTTTAATTTTTAATGTAGCATTAGTATTTTCAACTACACCAACTTTTAAAGTTGATAACTCACCATCACTTTCATTATATAAACAATAGTAAATATCTTTATAAAATTAAAATTTTAAATTATTAATATTAATACTTTTTTTTTATTTTTTTTTTTTTTTTAAAAAATATAGTAATCAATCACAATTATATTATTTATCATCAAGCGGATATGAAAAGCCAATTATTATTGCAAATTTAACAGGTACTCATTATGAAATGGGTTTCGCTGCAGGTTATATGATGGCACAAGAAGCTTATGATAATTATAATATGATGGTCGGTGCAGTTTTACCAAAGTGGTATGAAAAAGATGTTTTCGAAGCATTTTTAGATTGGCAATGGAAATCATATTTATCAAAACAAATTACTCAAAACTATCTTGATGAAATTAGAGGTTATGGTGATGGTGCTAAAGCTAGTGGTTTCACTAAATTAGGTGACACTATTATAAGAGGTGTTGTCATTAGTTCATTCCCAGGTAATCCAACTGAAAACATTAAATATTTATTAGAAGATGAAATGGGTCTTGAAGAGTTTTCAAAATATCTTATGGAAGAAGGTAAAGAAAGTCTTTTAGAATTTGTTAAAGAAATGTTAGTTAGCGATCTCGAACACAACCACCATAAAGGTTTACAATGCTCCCACTTTAGCACTTGGGGTAGCAAAACTTTAAATCAAGATATGTTTAATGGTAGAAATTTAGATTGGTTAAATGGTTCAGGTATTAGTAATAACAAATTAATTACCTTTTACCATCCACAAGGTCAATACTCACATGCTTCCATTGGTTTTGCTGGTTTAATTGGTGCCATTACTGGTATAAGTTCAAAAGGTATCTTTGTAGCTGAATCTGACAATGACTCTGTTAAAGTAACTTTTGATGGTTTTGCTTGGTCAATGAGACTTCGTTATATTATGGAAAACGCTGCCACTATTGATGAAGCTGTCTCACTTTGGGAATCTACCAATAATACTATGGGTATGTGTCACAGTCTTGCTAGTGCTACCGAAGTTCAAACTGCTCAATATCCAGCATATGCTTTAGAAACTATGAAAGGTTACACTGCTTTCTTTTATGATAACGATCCAAATGAACACTTCACCTACTCTGACCCAAAAACTGGCGCTCAAACTCAAATGGGTTATCCAATGAAGGATGCTGTCTATCGTACAAATCATGGTTATGATGAAACCATTCGTAAATATGAATGGGAGCCATCCATCCCAAATGATGATTCTTGGACTCGTTACATGTTATTCTATACATCATTTAGCTATTATGAAAATGCTGATATTTCAATCTCTGATCTTGAAGCCATCAACATCACTTCAATTTTAGGTAATAAACATAGTATTCAAAATACCTATACCACTTCCGAGCCATTTTATGATTGCACAAATGCTTGGATGGGTTATAATATCGTCTCTGCTACTTATCACTTTGCTGCCAATAAAATGTTTGTTGCTTTTGAAGAAGGCTTTGGTCAACAAAGAGTTTGTGCTGCTTGTGGTACTTATGTTGAAGTTGATTTATCACCATGGTTTGGTTTAAATAATTAAAATAATATAATATTATAGCTTAAAAAAGTAATAGTTGTCTAAAATAAAATTTATTAAAAATATCAAAACTTTATATTAAATAATGTAGTAATAATTTTTATTAAAAATATCAAAAATTTATATTACATAATACAGTAATAATTTTTTTTATTTTATTTAATTTAAAATTTTAAATTATAATAATTGTTTTTATTTTCTTCATTTGAATTAATCCTGGGAGGCCAATTAGATTTAAAACTATACTATTTTTTGATTTCTATTTCTTTTCTATTCTTATAAACTGCTTGTTTCATATACAATACTTGAGGTGTTAATTTAGTTTTTCATTCCATCTTTCCCTTTTTGCTTTTTCTTTGGATAATGTCACTTTAAAATCTATTTCTTCTTTTCAATTGACCCCTGCTTGTGGAAGAACTGTAGCTATTCTTATTTGAAATGTTGATAAAGATGTGATTTGTTCTTGGATGATGAAGTTGACTTTCTTAAATTTAACGATTTAATAATTGAAACATAGAATGAAACGATTTTATTAATAATTTGGTCTTCATCTATTTCTTAAAAAGAAATATAGAATGAATTATCAAAACTATTAATTTAATCGCCTTCGATTTCAATATTAATCCGTTTCAAAATCTAAAAGATCTTCTTCATTTTCATCTTCATCTTTATTATATTGTTGAGCTCTTACAACTTTTGGTACATAGCCAGTACGATGAATATTTTCTTTTTGTATTTAAGATGATGAGTCAATTGGTGATGCTGGGTGATGATTTTTCTTCATGTTCTTCTTGTAAATTTTCTGAAGCTGATGATTCATTATTATAGTTATTTGAAAAATGTTATTTTCTTTTCTGGTTCTTATTATGGTGATGAAACTGATAAATCATCAAAATCTTGAACTTGATTATCAATTTGATTTAAACTCATTGAAATTGGTACATTATTTTCACCTGATAACCATTCTTTTGAAGACTATTAAAAAAAATTAGAATCAATTTTTTTTTTTAAATTTTCTAAAAAATTATAATTATAATTATACTTACTAAATATGGTTGAAATAGAATTTGGGAAAAATCATCAGCAAATTGTGATTTTACCATTGAAAAAATGATTGGAGTAATATTGTTTGGAGTTGCTTTTAATAAACGATCTATTTCTACTTCCATAATATTCAAAACTCTTTTTGGAATTGCACAAATACTTTTCTTTTTACTGAACTACTCTATAGCGAAACATGTCTTTCTATCATCTTTGAGAACCAACGGTGGCAATAAATGGTGAATTACTTTAGCATATACAACGAGATGGTTTAACACATTAATTACAAACTACTACTTGAAATGATTCACGTGGATCAATAACTCTATTCTTAAAATCTTTACCGGTAGCAAATATTAAACTAATTATATTACATATCATTAACATTAGGCATAGAAAAGCAAACTGGATTGTTGATAAATTGACCTAAACTATTCTTTACCACCAGGATGAATACAAAAAACGGAATTTAACGATCTATTTTGAACTCTTCTTTAATTACTTTTAATTTTCTATTGATTTGATTCTATCTTGTTTTTAATTGGCTTACTACCTTGAATAAGCATCCATACACATTTATTCGGTACAACTAATATTACATCAACTAAAGAATTTTTTTTAAGTAATAATTACTTAAAAGTATCTCCAAAAAAAATGTTGTTGTTTTTGTTGTTGTAGTCTTTGTAGCTTTTGTTGATGTAGTTGTTCTAGTTGTTGTAGATGTTGTTGTTTAATTTGAAAAATTAGATGTTCTTGTTGAATTCTTTGATGTTGTTGTTGTCTTTGTCTTTCTTGTTCTTGTTGTTGGTATAGTTGTTCTTTTTCTAGTTGTTGTTGTTGACGTAGTTGCATTATCTGGTGATGTTGTTGATATGGTCTTTCATGTTGTTGTTGTTGTTTTGTTTGTTGTTGGTATAGTCGTAGATTTTGTTGTACTTGTTCATTATCGAGGGTAGATCTTTCAAATGAGTGTATACCATGTAGTCTGTCACGATAGTGTTTATGATCGTATCCAAGATGTAGACTTTCTTTATGTACCTTTTCCCAGAAGTCGGAATTAAAGGCACAAAGTGGGCAGTATTCCCCTTTAATGGTAGAGCAACGGCAACGGCAACGGTTGTTATTCTTGAAGATGAACTTTCCAAAACAATAATAAAAAATGGCACCAACAACAATAAATAAAAAAATGCACAATAATATAATATGAATCATTTTTTTTAAAAAAATAAATAATTATTTAAAATAAAATTAAATGTATATAAGTGTAAAAAATAAAAAAATAAATTATATGATTTAATGTATAAAAAAAATAAAAGATGGATGTAAAAAAATGAGTGTGAGTGAATGAAAACTTTAATTTTAATAAATAAAAAAAAAAAAGAAATTTAAAAATTTTTAAAAAAAAATAAATAAAAAATAAATTAAAAAATATTCAATTGTTTAATAATGTTTTTATTAAATTATTATAATTTATATTATTTAATTTGATATAGCTGTATAGGTTTTATTTTATTTTTATAGTATTAAATTGAGAATTATAATTTATTCTATATTTTGATTTAAAAATTTCATTAAATTCTCTCTTAAATGATATCCTGAATACCTAGCTATAAAAGAAATAAAACATTCATTTATTTGTTATTATTATTTTTTAATATTAAAAAATAACATTTTTAATAATTTAAAATTACAATAATTTTTTCACCTATTTCCCGATGCATATAATTTATTTTTCATTTATATTAATAAAAAAACTTTTCCCCTATTAGATAATAAACATCAATCAAAATATATTTATTGTTATTTTTTAAATAATAAAATTTATTTTTTTTTATAAATTTTTTTTTTATTTTATTTTTTTATTTTTTTTATTTAAATTTATTCTTTAAAAATTACACCCTTCAGTTCTATAATCACCAGAATACTTATTTTTTCAGTTATAAATATTTTTACATATAATAACAATTCATATACTTCATATTTTCTTTATTTATGGTGTATTCATAATAAACTCGTCACATTTGTTGAAATATATTGAAAACAAGTAAAAAAGTTAGATAAACTTTTGTTAGGTTAAAAAAGAAAAGAGGTTAAAAAAATGAATGAAAATTAAAATTATAATTTTCTTTCATTAAAACTATAGTTTTTTATTTTTTTATTTAATTTCCTAAATAAACCTTTATAAATTTCCAAAATTATTAAATTTTTAACCAATTTAAATTCTAATAGTTTTGGAAATAACTCGGAACATATCAACAATCAATATCTAGATATTAAAAAATTTGAAATAGAAAATACAATCCACAATGATCAATTATCGATTCAATCAACAAAACAAGAAATCATTGATCAAAAAAATAAGAATAGGTATGGAAATTTAATTAAAGATTAAGTAGACCAATCATATCTTTTTTCTCATCCCTCTAAACACAATGATCAGTTTATTTGATAAACGTTGTGAAGAAATATAAAAAACAATAAAATAAATAATAAAAATAAATAGTACGATTTACAATACAATATTATAAGTAAATATATTAATATTATATTTTTTTTATTTTCTTTTTATTTGTTTACTTTTATTTTTATTATTATTATTTATAATATATTTTATTTTATTTTGTGTTTTTTTAAAAGTGAAGATAAATAAAGTAATCTTATTTATATCATTTTAAATGATTATCTAAACCCAATGTAACAGATAAAAGAAGAAAGAATGAATTTTTGGGGTTCTCGCCCGTAAAATTCGGATTTTTAAAAAATATAATAATGTTGTTTTGCCCGAGTTGGTCTAAGGGGTTGCATTAAGGCTGCAATATCATTGATGCGAGGGTTCGAATCCCTCAGACAACAATCTTTTTTATTTAAAAAATCTTCCATGTGATTATAAAGTGGAAAAAAATGTTGTGTGAGTTTCGACTATATTCTTCATTGATGTTGCTAATTGTTTGTGGTTGTTTAACGTGTCTTTCCTTGATGTTTTTTAAACCTTTTATTTATTCTAAAGAGGCTAACTTAGTCCATTTTGAGGTTAGATTCTTATAATCGAGTTCTTTTATTGAATTTTCTTGATCGTCGTATAATTCTTTACATAACCAAATCCAAACTTGATGAAATACCAGGGCTATGGCATTTCTATAAGCGAAGCATCTAGTTAAGTAGAAATATATTGCTTTATAGTTCCATTGGAAGTGTGATTTGTGAAATCTGGTGTTGTTGTAATTCATATTTATTTCTCCATCGGATTTGCAACCTTCTGGGATTTTATATGTAATATTTTTTATTGATATATTCCTTCTTGATCTTATAAACTTCTGTTATTCTTTTAAATAATAAAAAAAAGATAATAATATTTATTTTTTTTCTTTTTTGCACATTATGCAATGATGGCTTATAAGCATTATAAATTATTATTTATTTTTTTTGTTTGGGGAAAATTATTATAATAAAATTAATGGTGGATATATAAATTAAAAATATTTGTTAATTTTTTAATAATGATGTGCACCATCTCTTTTTCCTTTTGTAGAAAATTTTTGTGTTAAATTTCATTTTTTTTATTTTATAAAATTATTTTTTTTTTTAATTAAAATTTTTTTTTTGTGGTGTGGGGGAATTTTTATTTTTTTTATTTTTTTATTTTTTTTTCGTTTTATCAATATACAAATAATTATATACATTTATTTATTTTTTATAATAGTCAATAATAAAAATTAATAATAGCAATAATTTTTTATATAGATAAAATAAATACAACTTCAAATAATTAATAATAATTTCATCATCCCCATTCACACTCTATTCTTTAATAGATTACCTAAAATAAAAAAAAATGAACGATTATTTTGTTTTATTTTGTCAAACCATTATCACATTGGTTTTTTCCTTCTTATTTGGTTTGGGTTTAATCAAATACTATTTCAACAAAAATAGCAACTACAACTGCAATGACAACCATAATCACAGCTACAATTACAACAATAAAGGACCATCAGACTACCCTGCATTCAACCAAAACGAATCACGTCATTCCGTTTCAGGTGTACAACAATCGAACACCAATACAGAATCAGGTCATATTAATAAAAGGGAACCATCTGACTACCCTGCATTCAACCAAAGCGAATCACGTCATTCCATTTCAGGTGCAACTCAGTCAAGCAATGATCAAGAATCAGGTCATATCCATAAAAGAGCCTCATCAAACTACCCAACATTTAACCAAGATGAAGCACGTTATTCCGTTTCCGGTGTCCCACAAGAAAACAATTCTCAAGAATCAGGTCATAAAAGAGAACAAACAAGCTACCCTGATTTCAATAAAAATGAATCACATTTTTCTTTTTCTGGTTCACCACAATCATACAATAACCCAGAATCACCATGTAACGGAGAGCCACCATCTGTTGAGGAGTATGATGATGTTAGCGGAGAATGGGTTCCATATTCTAACTTTAATTAATGTTAGAAATTAAAATAATCAGTAGTGGGTCAATTTATTTAATTTCATCAACTACACTCAATGTCATTGCAGAATAACCAAATCATTTACCATTTACACCATTACAAATCCAATCGATAATACCAATTTTAGAATCAGTGAATATATGTTTAATATTCTCAAAGTACAAGTAAGTATTGTCACATTAAAAATAAAAACAAACCCAATATTTGATATAAATATTAAGGAAATGTGGAAACTTAAAACACTAATATTAACATATTAATTATTTATTAATATATAGGTATACCAATTTAAATCCAATTACTAGGTTTTCCATCAGGATCTGCTCGCTACTATTTTTAAACTAAATAAAGAATTAATAATGGTCAAGTCTTACACAAGCCAGTCAGTTGCAATTCAATTAAACCCAATTGTTCTATTTCAAATTCTTTAAAGATCGAGTAAATAAGCTGATGAAAACTCAAATTAATATAATGACTATTTATTAATATTAATCTAAATAATAATAATCATTGGTAACAACAATATTATTATAACTAAGTTTCAATATTTCAATATAATCAACTATTTAAAGAAAATCTATTATTTTGTCCTGGCCAGGCAAATGCGATATAACTAAATAGTTTTATAAAGAAATAATTGTCCCTATGGTTTTATCAAAAATATTTAAAATATGGTCCCCCAAAGATATTTGTATCTGATTGAAGTTCAAGGTTCTTAAACGAAGTCGTCAGTTTAATAAAGATTTGATAAGTGCAAACGAATAATACGAGGTATCCAAGCTGTTCAAATAGAATTTTTTCAACAATCAGTGTACCAAACTAGTTTCAACTCTATTAGAATACTCAAAAATCTTTTCAGAAATTATAGCTTTGTAACCAAGGCAACTGTATTTTATCTATAGGTAAAACATTTCAACCATAGGGTTTCAACAAATGGATTTACCTCGCCCTCTAATCAAATTAAAATTTCAAAATTTTGGTCTCTATTACTATTATAGAGAATCTATCAAAAAATATGCTAAAGAAGCTCAAAGATAACAGTATAGTTATTTAATAAAGAAAAATTTTATTTTTAAAAAAAATTCCTTAAAAACTTTTAAATTTTTTTTTTTTTTATTTATATTATCTGCTCCTCTTTTAATAAAGTATATTGTATTTAATAATGTGGTTTGTTTGTGTTTTTTGTTTGTTGATGATGGTGATCTAATTTGTCAGGTTAATCTACCTGTATTTGAGTTGGTTGTACCTGTTTTTGGACTAGTTGTACCTTTTTGAATTTGTTGTACTTGTTGTACTTGATTTTCTTGATAATCTTGTTGAGCTTGTTGAGCTTGTCGAAGTGGTTGTACCCGAATGACAGTTTGATTTGTTGGCTCTTGATCTATTTGATTATTTACTTGCCCAGTTGTGGGTTAACTATCCATGTTTTTCTTTGGTTTGTTGTTGATGTTAATAGTTCTTGTTCCCAGTTGAATAGATCGAATTTCTTTCTATGCTCTAATTTTAACATTTCTTGAACCAAGTACTATTCCACCTTTTTTGTTAATTGTACTAGCTATTTCATTTTCGTTGGTTAGTATGCCCATTCTTTTTTTATCATTGCTGTTGTTCTTTATTTCATAATATCTTGAATCTGAATCTGCTAGAATTTCTTTTAAGTTGTTTTCTGTAAATATTGATGTTATGTGGATTTGGCATACGTACTTCCATTTTCTTCTTTTATATAATCTGTCACCTATAGTTGCAATGTTTTCTAAATAAAGCTCCCAACCCTACCGTTTTTCAAAAAAAAATATCCTTTATTTAAAAAAAGGATCGAATATTAAATTTAAAAACCGTATTTGGGAAAATTCAAGAATATATGTTCAAATAAATTTTTTTTTTTACAACTAAATAAAAAAGCCTTAAAATCTATTCAAAATAATATTATAATAAAGCTTTTTAATGTTAAAATTTGTTGCCGCCAAACTTTTTTTTTTATTAATTTTTTTATTTTTTTTTTTTATTTTTTTTTCATTTTATTATTAATATCATCTAATTAAAATACATTCACAATTACCCCACTCACATTAACCCACAATAAATTTAATATAAAAATACAGTTATTTAAATTATATAGAAAAAAAAAAAAAAAAAAAAAATCATAATGACATTTAAATAATTTTAATAATTAAAAATATATTTCAAATTAATAATATTCACACACAAATACCCCATGTTTTATTTAAATATAAATAATGTCTATAATAAGTGTTTTATTATTTTATTATTTTATTTTATTTTATATTATCATTGTTACATTTTTAAATATACAAATTTAAAATAATACCTCTCAAATTAATAATATTCACACACATATATTTTCATGTTTTGTTTTAAAATAATAATAGTAATCGTGTGTATAATAGGTTCATTTTAATTTTTTTTTTTTTTATAATGCACTTTAAAATTTAAACTTTAAATACAAATTAAAAATATAAATTATCAATAACTAAAAAAATAAAAGATACTTGTATTTACAAATTAAATTACATCATTTTCTATTAATAAAAGAAAAAAAAAATAATCTTACACACTGTATATATTATTGTTAAATAGAAATTAATAGAAATTATGAAAAATAATTAAAAATACAATTATCTATTTATAAATATTTTTATTCGTTAAAAAAATAATTTTTTAAATAAAGTCAATGTATACAAAACTTTATTTAAAAAATTATTTATTTCGGTGTAGTATGTATTACTGAACTAAGATTATTTAACTAATTTATCACAACCCAAAATGTGGAAAAATATAATATAGCAAACACTATAGGTAAAGCAAAAACAATTGAAGAATGGGTGAGATAACATATAAAAATTATCTAAATGAATATGCTAAAGCAGCATCCATCTGGACTCAAAAAAAAGAGATCGTGCTCGTCAAAATATTTTTTCTTCGACCAAACTTTTCGAAGCAGAATGTCTGCTATTTGAGTCCAGAGTGATGCTGCTTTAGCATATTCTATTAAAACTCCTCTACTTGTAATCTAGTAACACCAGCGACCCTGTTTTTTTGGGGTAGATCGATATATCTAGAAAAAATGGACTAAACAATTTTGGTACCAAATTTTTTTTTTTTAAACCAATTTTTTTTTTAAAAAAATTAAAAATAATTGGTTGAAATTCTGATAGTTTACGTCATTTTTGATTCTCTATTTTTTCATCGAACGGATTTTAAAGAAAATAAATTTATCATCGAAATCTGAAGTGATTTTTTTTTTTTTTTATTTTTTTTTTTTTGAATCAAGCAGACAGGTCGTGGGTTCGAGTCCTATTTTATACATAATTATTTCTGATAAGAGATCAGAAGTGAAGTTAACTATGCGAAAAGATCACAAGAAGAAGAAAATAATATCTTCAAAAAAGGTAAAAGAGGTATTGGATTGATGAATTATCAAAGAGAGTACGTCAGGTAATAGCACATGAACCTTCTTTGCATAGGACGATAGATTAGTGTTCGACTACAGGTTAAAGAATAATTGGACTGTAGAATTTCAATACCCAATACAGATGAACTTTTATACAAAACGAGAAATGCTAAATACAACCATATTTCCATCGATTGTTATTACATCAAGGTGATCGTCATCATACGGTGTTTAGGGCCGGTAGTAAATTGTATCAATTCACCAGGAAGAACATCATTTGTTTTAAAGAAATCTCCAGTGTATTTTGACAAATTGGCTCAATCAGTTTTAGAAGGGTTCAAAAAGTTTTTAGCTATATTAGTAGTGTTAAATAAATGTGTTGAAGAAATATGATTATTATTGTTAGGTAAAAAATTTATTTTATACTCGGTTCATCTTTATTTTGCACACTATCAAACTAAACAAGAGACCCCAAAAAGATTAATTAGATGATTTGATTTAACTAATATGTTTAATTACGAATTATATCATATCGAGGGGAAAATATTGCAGCGGATTTACTCAGTCGTAATGCCAAGTTTTTTATTAAATATCTTAATAGATTCAACAACCGATTCAAGAAGACTAGTTTAGTAGCTAAAGATCGAATTACTATTATTTTAAACGAAGGTCACCTTTCCAATTATATAGGTTATCCAGGTGTGTCCAAACTTACAGCAAGTATTAGACTAATCTTTTATTTCCCCAAGTCCTTGAAACGTATTAAAGCATATGTAGCCTCTTGTCCAGAATGTCAGAAGGTTAGAATCGAAAGGGAGAGGCACAAACTGAACAAGCTATTCAATACAATAAAGACAAAGAGGATATTGAATACGAAATAGGTGTTCGGGCATGCGTGGAAAGAAGAAAATTGGTACATTTTAATTGGAAATAGATAAAGATAAATTACTTTCAAGATATTGTGGTCCATTTAGAGCAATAGAACAAAATAAATTACAAAATTAGATTGTTGGTTAGAGCTTACAGTGTCAGAACAGTTCACTTCATTGAACGGAAATTTATTTGTTGATGGAAAAGATTCAAGAATCGAATATTTAATCCTTTACAAGAATGCTGGTGATAACAGCGATGTATGGGTTCAAGAGAACCACCCAGATGATTGTCCAAAATTAGTAAGTCATTTTGAAGATGAACTTGCAAAAACAGTTTCAGTCGAGAATAATTTTTTAACACATCAAAATAGACTAAATAAACAAGCATATCAACACATAGAAAATGAAAAAAATTCATTTCAATTAAGGGAATCTTGTCAAGAAGGTCTCCATTAATCAACTTATTTAAATAGTTTTAATTATTTGATTTAAATAATAAAAATTATAAAAATATTTAAAATTTAAAAAAATAAAATTAAATAATTTGAAAATAAATGATTTTATCATAACATAAATAAATACATAGTTTTATAACTTTTTAAATTATTTGCTTAAATACTTAGTATATTCATATCTACATTACAAACCTAAAACTATTTTTTAATTTTTTTATTTTATTAAAAAATTTTATTTTTATTTTATTTTTAATTTTTATAAATTATTTAAAATAAAGGAAAATATAAATATATTTGTACTATTTTTTTAATTCTAAAATGTATATGAATACATTACAGCCACTTTGAATAAAGACCCAAATAAACTTCCTCCTATTACACTAACCATCTATTTTTATATTTTAGATAATTGATCATTTGATCATTTTGATTGAACTTTATTTCTACTACTCTAAAGTTGGTGTAAGTTCATGTACCAAACTTTTTCAATTATTCTGAAAGCAGTGCTGTATCTAATCCCTATTTGAATAACATATTCTCCTTGATTCTTATTTTGTTTGTAATTTTTATGCTTGAAATAGAGGCCTTTTTATAAACAACCCATATTACAATCTATAGAGATAACATTTGAACCTAAGTACCATACTTTAATCTTTAGCTCTTAATACACCATTTGAAATATAAGTTACAGCTTCAACTGCCTATATACCTACCATCATTAACCTTATTGGCATCTATCCTCATCATTTCAATTGATTTGTTACAAAGATTTTTATACGCTAGTAAAAAACCTAATTTATTAATTGGTGAGTATTTGGTTGATATTTTAACATTGTTATTACTATTTTGTTGTGTAGAGGTATTATTACTAATCACCTATTCTATTAACAACGTGCTTCTTTGTGTTTTTATACTTGTGTTGAATAACCTGGTTTTATTTATTAATGTGTTAATAGTTGTATATTGATACATACAAAATAAATAAAAAATATAAAAAATTTAAAAAAAAAAAAAAAAAAAAAAAAAATTAGAAAATAATAAAATTTTTGAATTATAATAAAGAATCTATAATTTCCTTTAGTAAAGAAAAGATAATAACCAAATTGGGTATTCCTTTTTTGGGAATTTAAATCTATCATAAAAGGAAACACACATCCCTAATAAAATTTTAAACCTTTAAAAAAAAAAACAAATTTCTAGATAGGAAATATAAAATAATTTTTTATTTATTAAAATTTCCAGATAAAAATATTAATCTATTTAATCTATTTATTTTATTTGTTTATTTATTGGTTGATTGAAAATTGTTCTTTTTGTTGTTTGAATTAGTATAAAATGAAAACCCTTTTTTACGAGTTTACCAGTTAGTCTATTCAATTCTTTTAATCTTTTACACATATCAACTGTGGCACGAGTGGCTGGGTGGCTGGAGTATCTCTTTTGGGCTACTTTCAAAAGCTTCCATATTTTTCATACCAATCACTGTGTCCAATAATCTCTTTTAATTTCTAACCCGATTGGAGGTAAGATTGTGTTGCTTTTAATGGCACATCCATATAATCTCCACCTTTAATAAGTTTTTTTTTTTTTTTAATAGTTTTTTTTTTTAATTATTATTATTTGTTTCTGTTATTTTGAAATTATAAAGAATGATTGGAAAAAAAAAAAAAAAAAAAAAAAAAATTTTGAAAAAAAATTTTAAAAAAAAATTATATTAAAACCCCACCACACACAATTTTTCTTTTTTATATTAATTAAAAAATAGCTAGAACTGTTTAATTATTCCCATAAAATATTTACATTTCATTGCTGCATATAAAAAAAATTTTAAAAAAATATAAATTAAGAAATATAAAGCTATCAGGAATTCAATAGCCTAGCAGATGCTCGGCTTTATTTTTTCTTCAATAAAAAACTTGTTGAGAGTTTTTTATTTTTGTTGTGTTATATATATTTGGTTTGTGTTTTCATTTGGTATACAAATATTTAAACTTTTCAGTAAGTTTTTATTTGTTTTTGTGTTATTGTGTTTTGGTTTGTGTTTTAAAAAACTTGTTGGGAGTTTTTTATTTGTATTGTGTATTCGTTTTACCTGGTTTATCTTCCAGGTGATTAAATACAAATATCATATTAATAAATAAAAAATATATTTTATATTAATATATTAATATAATTTTTATTTATATATTATAATAATTTATAAAAATAAATAAAATTTTTTTTTTTTTTAAAAAAAATAAAAAGATAAAAATTTTTCTTTTTATTTTTTTTTTTTTAAATTAAAATTTTTTTATTTTTTTTATTTTATAATTAAAATTATAATTTTATATAAATAAATACATAGTCTTCAGTAAGTTTTTATTTGTTTTTGTGTTATTGTGTTTTGGTTTGTGTTTTAAAAAACTTTTAGGAGGTTTTTTATTTGTTTTGTGTATTCGTTCCGGTGATTTTGATTGTTTAAAATATAAAGGTTTGCCAAATGTCTACAAGTTATATTAATAAATAAAAATTATATTTTATATTAATATATTCATGTAATCAGTGTGATACAACCTTGTTAGTTGCATTGCAAACTGTGTTCAGATCGACCTCCTAAATTTGTTCAAACCTTATGAGGTCATTAAAAAATGAATTATATTCATGTTGTTTTGCCCGAGTTGGTCTAAGGGGTTGCATTAAGGCTGCAATATCATTGATGCGAGGGTTCGAATCCCTCAGACAACAATCTTATTACTATAAAATCTTCCTGGTGATTTTTTAACAAATTTTATACGATAGGGGATATATCATTGCTATGATAGCCAAGTGGTCGAACGAATTTCCTACATGTTAAGGATCATTACTCACTAATAATCAACATTAATTAATAATCAACAATTATTTTAATTCATCAAAAAAAGAATTTTAAAAAAAATAAAATAATAAAAATAATAAAAACTTTTTAGTTTTCGAATTTTACAAAAACAAAAACATTTCATATAAATTTTATTTTATTTAATTATTTGATCTTAGTACCTTACATTTATTGTTAATTAAGTTTTGATGATAATACATTACAGTTATAATTATATCTCAACTAAATAATATATTTATATTTTCCTTTATTTTAAATAATTTATTATTTAAAATTAAAAATTAAAAATAAAATAAAAAATTGAAAAATTGAAAAATTTAAAAAAATAAAATTTTATTTTTTAGTTTTTCAGTTTTCGCTTCACAAACAAATAATTGTATATTTATCTGATTATTAGAATTATTTATATTTATTATTTATCTATAACCAAAGTAGCTCCATCTACATTACACAGAACAAGGATCATTACTTAATAATAATCAACAATAATTAATAATAATAATATAAGTATTAAACATACCAAACAAAACACATCAGTATTTTATTGACTTAATGTATCATTAAGAATCATCTTCACTTTTAAAAAAAAAAAAAAAAATATTATTATAACAAAATTACAATAACAATTATATATTTATTTGCGAGAATTTTACTGATCAATTTAAAGCATTTGCTTTTAATTATCTTCACTTTTAAAAAAAAAAAAAAAAAAAAAGTTATATATTTATTTATATTTATTAGATGAATTTTTTATAAATTTTTTAATTATTATTACCCACATTTGAATCCCTACAAATGTTCTTTTGTTATGACGATATCTTTGATAAGTGATTTTTTTTGTAGATAATAAATAAAAATCTTTTGTTGCCCATTAAAAAAAAATTGAATCCAGATTAAGGGGTTTCAATATCTATTGTTATTATATTAATTTTTTTTCAAAAAAAAAAAAACCACCAATTTTAATTTTTGCGGAATGTATAATAAAAAAAATCCCATGTTATCTTCATTAAAAAAAAAAAAAAAAAATCAAATTATCCATAAAATTGTAGTTACCTTTTTATTATTGGTTAAATTTTTTTTAATTAATATAACGCCAACAATTTTTTTATTATTATTTATTTTAATTTTTTTTTTTTTAAAATTATAATATATAATTTTTTTTTTTAAAAAAATTATTATTCACCACAATAAAATAAATAAATTAAATAAATAATAGTTATAAAAGCAAAAAATTATGGATATACAAAGTTTTATTATTAATGAAATTTCAAAAACATTAGAAATTCCTGACATAGATATTAATAAAAAATTTGAAGAGCTTGGAGGTATGTTTTTAGTTTTTTATAATTAATAATTATTAAATTTTTTGCTAACTTTTTAATTATTTTAATAATATGATTTTAATTTTTATAATTATTATAATTATCAGGTGATTCTCTCGCAGTTGTTGAAATTCGTGGTGAAATAAATAATAAATATAATGTTGATGTAGATTATTCAACTTTTTTAGATAAAACAGTTAGAGAAATTTGTGATATATATATGGCAAAAATTGCTCAAAAAGGTAAATAACGGAATAAAGAAACAATAAACAACTTCATTGATTTATTGAAAGCCACCTCTATCATCACAATTCCAAAAATTAATTAATAAAAAGATTCAAGTGTGATAATTTAAAATTAATTAATTTTTTATTTTCTTTAATACCATTTATCATTTAATTTTTTTTTTTAATCTATAACACACTATCTCAAAATAAATATGGAAATAATTATTACTATGTTTTCATTACTAAATTTAATTGTTTGTATTATTTTATTGTATATTATTGATTTTTATTCAGTTGTTTGGATATTTTATGTCTTGGAGTTAATGAACATATTTCAATTTTTGGGAAGATCTATTGTTATGTGAGTTAATGTTGTTATTATTGTTGATGTTATCATTATTTCTATGTTAATGAAAAAATAATAATTCATTGTCAACAAAAAGAAGTAGATAAAAATAGTTTTGTTGGATTAATGAACCACTCTTAAATAAACCACAATTTTGTTTAATATTAATATATTGAATCATTAGTTTATGATCGCGGGTGATGAATATGATGATTTTTTTTGAATTATTTAAAAAAACTAAAATAATGTGAAAATTTGATTGGATTGTGCAAGTTTATAATTATTATTATAAACTTTTTTGATTTAGTATATGGTTACAATTTACCCAAAAAATTAACACTAAATAAAAGCAAAACAAAAAGATAGATTAAATAAAATTAAATGAAAAATTTTTTAATTTTTTTAAATTTTTTTTTAAATTTTTTTTTTTTTCATTAAATTAAATTTTTTTTTTTTTCAAAATTTTTTTTTTTTTCATTTTGAATATATGTTCAAAGTGAAAAAATGAATAAAAAACAACAACACCAACACCAACAACAATACCAACAACAATATCAACAACAATACCAATCACAACCACAGCAATATCAACAATACCAACAAACACAACAAACACAACAACAACAACCACAACAATCACAACAACAGGTTCAACAACAAGTTCAACAACAAATACAACAAATACAACAGCAACAACAACAACAAGCACAGATTCAAGCATTAATACAGCAACAGCAACAGCAGCAGCAGCAAATACAACAACAGTCTCAACAATCACAACAACCACAACAATCACAACAACCACAACAATCACAACAATCGCAACAATCACAACCACAATTACAAAATGATTTAGCATTGTTTAAACCATATTCAAATCAATCATCAATTAACTCTATTAGATTATATGTATCATCATTCGATTCATTATTATTATCATTATCAAGTACTGATCCTAGAGAACAAACCAAATCAATATTATATTTTTCGTCACTTTTAATAAATAATAAAATGAATGGATTAGATTTGGTATATTTTGTTCAGAAACAAATCGAGATTGAAAACAAAAGCCATATTACAGTATTGCTAATTAATTTATTGGGCGACTTAGCTTTAGACCCATTTGTAGATACACTACCTATTTTAAATAAATTATTAAATATTGTAAGTATTAATATTAATTTTATAACAAAAAAAAAATTAAAATAAAAGTATTAATATTAAATTTAAATTTAAATGTAGGTTAAAGCGGATAATTCTAAAAAGGTTACATTAGCATGTTTAATGAATATAAGCAAAATTATAAGAAGCAAATCAAACATTACAACCAAATCAAGTGTTACTATTAGTTATATTGAACCACTATTAAACTCGTCAAGTCCCCAAATCAGAAGAGAAACTATTCTATTGATGGCATCTACAGTAAAAAATTTAGACAAAGAATCAGAAGAGATACAAATACTATTAAAAAACTATTTAAAAGATCCAGATTTTAGAGTTAGAGAAATTTCATTAAAATCTCTTTCAATTATATTTCAAAGAGGTGCAAGTCTATCAGTAAATAAATTATACTCATCGATCATCTTATTATTGCTGGATAGTTTTGAACAAGTTAGACTTGAGTGTATTAAACTAATTTGGATTTTTGGCAACGTGTATCCAAACCATATTGTATTTAGCGGTGGAAATAAAATCAGACTTGTAGATGACGTATTTAAAAAGATTTGCAATGCTGTAAATGATTCAACGGTTATAGTTAGAAATTGTGCATGTAAACTTTTGGGCTGTATTTATGATGTATCCTTACATTATTTAATTCAAACTTTAAGTAAAGAAGTTATGGTCTGGGGTAAAGGTAAACAATATCAAATTGGTCATAGTAGTGTTACAAAAATGCAAAAACAACAACAACAGCAACAACAGCAACAGCAGCAGCAACAGCAACAACAAAATAGTCAAATATCAAACACATCAAATACTTCATCAACCACACCAACTCACATTAATACACCAGAAGGTGATTTCGATGTTGTTGGATCTGACTCTTTGAATATTTTAGAATCTGGTGTTATTGGTGCTTTTATTCAAGGTTTAGAAGACGAGTTTTATGAAGTTAGATCATCTGCAATTGATAGTATGTGTGAACTTAGTGTTAGAAATAGTGAATTTGCTCAAAAGAATATTGATTTTTTGGTAGATATATTTAATGATGAAATCGAATCGGTAAGAATCAACTCTATCAATAGTCTTAGAAAAATTAGTAACAATGTTGTAATTAAAGAAGATCAACTTCATATTATTTTGGCTAATCTCGAATCAACTTCACGTGAAGAAAGACAATCACTTCATAAACTTTTAGCAAATATCTATCTCTCAAACTATTCATGTCTCTCTGCAACCATTCAAGCATTGTTAATGAATCTTCAACGATATCCATACGATGTACATTCAATTTTTGAATCATTAAAAATCATTGGTCAAAAGAATCCATTCACAGAGTTTATAGTTGATGATCTTTTAAGAACAGATCCAAAATTTGCATCTGTAGAACCAAACATGGACGATATATTTTATGTAGCTGTCATGATTGTGGTTTTAAACTCATCGATTAATAATAATAATATTCTTCCACTTTTACCATCATTTTGTTTTCAACATCACCTTTACTTTAAAGATAAATATCCAAAATATTTTCCACAAATTTTAAATAATCAAAACAATAATAATAATAATAATAATAACCAAAATAATCAAATTAAAGAAAGGGAACAAAATTTCGAAAATAATGAAGATATTGCAAAATTTTTAAATTCAACTTTAATTTTATTATTTGGTAAAAAATTCAATTGTATTAGCCAAAAGCAACAAGAGGAAACAAATGAAAATGAAAAATCATTATATTTAGACTTAAATGAAAATGGATTTTTAACTTATTTAAATCAAAAAAAAGATATTCAATTAGAAAAACTATTTCAAGAATGCAAAAGAAATTTTATAAGAATTTCAAGTATTTGTAATATTTTAAAACCAACATCAGATTTTTATAAAAAATATTTAAAAATTTTAACAATTATGATTAAAGTAAGTTTTTTAATTGAATTATTTATTATTTTATTAAAAAATTATTTATATTAATATTTTTTATTTAAAAAAAAAATAGGTAAAGAAAACAAAAGAAATCAGTTTGATAATTTCAGACCAATTAAAGAATATTGTAAATCAAATGTTTCATAGGTTTATAGGTTTAGACAATAATTGTAAATTAGTAATAATGGAAATTGAAGTTTTTTCAACAATAACAGAAATTATTTCAAATGTTAAATCAATTGACCAATCAAAATTCAAATCAGAATTATCAAACAATCAAATTAGCGTAATAACCAAAAAATTGAATTCTTTTATAAAATTTTCAAATGATAATTTTGTAACCATTCCAAATAATATAAAATTATTATTAAAAATTTTTAATATTAAAGAAAAAGAAAAAGAAATAGAAAATGGAAAAAAGAAAGGAAATGGAAAAGAAAAAAAAAAAGGAAAAGATAATGATAAAATGGATCAAGACAAAGAAAGACCAAATAAAATTCAAAAAACAAATAATAGTAATACTAATAATAATAATAGTTTATTATATTGGGATTGCAATGATTGGTTACAAAATTTTATTCCACCAGTTTTAAAAGTCAAAAATTTAATTAAAAAGAAATCTGCAGAAATTATTCAATCCATTCCAAATGATAAACCAATTGAATTTTTAGACACATATCCACTAAAATTAACTATCAATGCTCGTATTGAAAACTTTAGAAATGTAGATTCATTGTTTATTCAAACTAGTTGGCAATCTATTCATACTGGTCAATTTAATTATCAACTTTTTAGCATTCCAAAATCATCTTTTATCCCAACCAAACCACTCTCTTTTAATATTTCTACATCTCCATTAATCCATTTAAATGGTATAAAGAGCAACAAACTATCACAAAGAGAACCAATTCCATTAAGAATTACTTTAGTCGAATTATTAGATACCTATAATAATACAATTAACAGTACCATATCAACTGGTAACACTATTAATAGCAGTACTGTAATACCAATTTCCAAACCTTCAATTTACAATTTAATCCCATGCGATACAATAACACTCCAACCAAACTTTATATAAATAATAATAAAAACTAAATAAAAAATAGAATTGTAAAAATTGTTTTTTTAATAATATATAAATTTATTTTCTTTTTTTTAAAATATATTAAAATAATTAATATTAATTTAGTTTAAAAATTCTATACTATTCATTATTCAATTTAAATAAAGAATACATATTTGTTATTGGTAATGTTTTTTCTTTTTTTTTTGTTTTGTTTTGTTTTGTTTTTTTTTGTTTTTGTTTTTGTTTTTGTTTTTTTCTGATGCCACTTTTATTTGGCCACAATGACATCGCAGGCAGCAATATTATTCATTGCATAATCGGAAACCGAGTTAATGAAAACTTTCTTCAAAGTATTCATTCCTCTGGTACCCAAAATTAAAATATCTATATTATAATCTCTAATTGCTTGCTCTAAACCAACCCCAACATCTTGAGATTTTAAAACTATTCTTTCGTTTTTCATCTATATTAAAGAGAAAAACCCTATAAGTATTTTTTTTCTATAATTATGAAATAATATATCTATACATACTCCTCTTTCTTGACATAGCTCTTCATATTTTTCTAATAATTCTTCACCTTTTTCTATTGATTCTTTTGGTTTGGAAATGGTTACTATATGAATATGGTCACCCGGTTTATATAAGGACTCTGCTAATTCAAAAGCCTTATGAGATTGTTGCGAACCATCAAGGGATATTAAATATTTCATTTCTGTTGTCTGTATATTTGTATAAATTGATTTGTCTGGATTTATATATTAATATATATATTTATAAATATTATTATTTTTATTTAAAAAAAGTAGTGTGTGAATATTTCAATAAAAAAAAATTATTTTCTTATATAACAATGTTTTATTATAAAAAAAAAAAATTTTATTATAATATTATTTTTTTATTAAAAAAATGATTTTATCTAAACATATATTTTATAATTTAAAAATATAATTTTAGCAATGTATTTAAAAATAAATATTGAAGAAAAAATTATTTCTGGTGGTAAATAATAAAAATAAAAATAAATAAATATTTTAATATATTTTTTAAAAAAAAAAAAAAAAAAAAAAAAAAAAAAAAAAAAAAAAAAAAAAAAAAAAAAAAAAAAAATTTTTTTAAATTTCCCCCAAAAGGGGTTTTTTTTTTTTTTTTTTTAAAAAAAAAAAAAAAAGGGGAAAAAAAAAAAAAAAAAAAAAATTTTTTTTCTTTTCCCCTAAAAAAAACCCCCAGGGTTTTTTCTTTTCAAAATTCCCCTTTTTTTTTTTTTTAAAAAATTTTTAAAAAAAAAAAAAAAAAAAACCCCCCCTTTTTCCAAAAAAAAATTTTTTTTTTGAAAACCAAAAAAAAAACCCCCAATTTTGGATTTTCTTAAAAAATCCCCCCCTTAAAAAAAAAAAAAAAAAAAAAAAAAAAAAAAAAAAAAAAAAAAAAAAAAAAAAAAAAAAAAATATTTTAAATATTACCTAAAATGGTATTTCTTTATTTTCTTTTAAAAATAGAAAAAAAAATGGAAAAAAGAAAATAAAAAATAAATATATTTTCATTTTCTCTTAATAGAGATCCAAAGGTTTTTTCATTTCAAAATTTACCTTTTTTTTTTTTTTATAAATATTTTTAAAATAAATTAATAAAATTAACCTCTTATTATCTATAAAAGAATTTATTTTATGATATCAAAATTAAAAATCTCAGATTTTGAATTTCATTAAAAATTCCAACATATAAAATAAAAATAAAAATAAATAAAAAAAAAATAAAAATAAAAAAAAAAAAAAAAAGTAAAAGCAATTATAATTTTTGGATTTTATATTTTAAAACGATTGGTTTATTTTTTTTTTTATTTTCTTTTATTAGTTTTTTTAAAACAATCGAATATCTTTTGAATATTTAAACAATAATTTTTAAGATAAAAAGCAAAAATGTTTAGAATAAAAAAAAATTTAAAAATTATCCTATTTAATGGTTTCTTTAAATATGAAAAATTATTTCTTTTTTTTTTTTTTTTTTATATTAACAACATTATTTTTTAAAAATCTTTAAATTACTGTCCAGGTATTTAGGTTTTTTTTATGTATTAATTATTCTATATTTAAAATTAATTTAAATTTTAAATAAAAAATATTTTTATTTTAAAAATTAAAAAAAAATAATGATTTTGGGTTATAGGATTATTATTATTATTATTTATTATTTGTTGTTTTAATTGAAATAATAAATTTGTTCAAAATCTGGAACAGATTGATAAGAGTATTGTGGTTGATAGTTATAAATTAAAGATTGAGCTTCGACGGTTGGGTCAGAGAATGAGTGAGATGATTTTCTGCATTCGTTGACGAAAAAGTTTGAAGTGTATTGATTGGAGAGGACGCTCATAAAGCTGTGGTTCATAACTTCTTGGTCCCACCATTCAAAGATTGGTTTTTCTGGATGCCATTGAACACCGTAGATTGGATAGTTTTTAGCTTCGATGGTAGAAATGAAAGTGTTACCGTCACGATCGACATTGGTTGATAAAACATTAAAGAAGGTATTGATGGCTGAGGTGTCACTAAAAGTTTGTGGTGAAAGACCAAATTGATGGTTATTCATAGTGATTGGTTGGGTGGCAAGTGCTTCGAAAATTTCAGATGGGGCATTTCCAAGCATATTACTTTCTTTGGCAGCTGCTGTAAAGTTTAATGGTACAGTGTAGTTTTCGCTATTGTAGCTTGATAAAAGATCGAAATTACCTGCAGCTAATAATGCTAACTCTTGGAAACCCATGCAAGTACCCCATAATGGGAAATAGTCACCATTATTGTTTGATTCGATGACCAATTGCCAAATGGATTGAATGGTATTGGTGTAAACGGTAGCATTATCGAAATCTACACCACCACCTGGGAATAAAATACCATTGATTGAATTGAATAATGATGTTAATGATTTGATATCAGTGTCGTAAAGAATTGGTACAACACGTGCTCCAGCACTTTCAATATATTTGACATAAGATGCTGCAAGATATTGATCACCATAAGTGGCCATACCGCCATTGGTTGGTTGTGTTAAAATACCAATAATTGGTCTATTATTAACTGCAGTTGGTGCTGCAACAATGATATTACATAATAATAACAATGATAATAATTTATATAAAATCATCATTTTTTCTATTATATTATTTATATTATAACTGATAGATATTATAATAAAAAAAATAAAAGAAAAAGGAAAAGAAAAAAAAAAAAAAAAAAAAAGAATTTTAAATTTTCCCCAGAAAAAAATAAAAAAAAATAAAAATAAAAATAAAAATAATTTAAAAATAATAAAAATAATTTAAAAAAAAACTAATTTTTTTTTTAAGGTTTGTGTATGTGAAATAAATTGTTTTTTTTTATTAATAAAATAATAAATATCTTTTAATTTAATATTAATTTAAATTTCTTTGATATATTAAATAAATAATTTTTTTTCTTTTCTTTATATTTCTTTTTCTTTATATTTATTATTTAGTAAAAATAATCTTATTTTATATTATTTTTTATATTTATGTGTTATCTTTTGTATATGTTAAATAGATAATAACAAATAGTAATAATAAAAAAAAAGATATAATGTTATTTTTTTTAATTTTTTAATATTTTTTTAATTTTATTAAAATTTTTTTTTTTTTTAAATTTTTCAATTTTTTTTTTTTCTTTTTTGTTTTTCATACACTTCATGTTTAATAAATAATATTTTATATTTTAGATCATAATTTATATTTAAGAATAAAAAAACAAACAATGAATGGTATGGTTGATGATACCAAAACAACAATAGAAGATGAAATTATAGACCAAGGTGAATTTAAACAAACAAATAATAAAAAATATTGGTATAAAATTGATATTTCACAAGGTTTATTATCGTGGTATGAGGGTAAGTAGATTTATAAAAATTATAAATTACAAAATTTATGAATAAAAGATAAAAATAAAAATAAACAATAAAAATAAACAATAAACAATAAAAAATATAAATAAAAAATATAAATAAAAAATAAAAAATAAAAGAAGAATTGTATCTTACTATATTTTTTTAATCTTAGATGAAAAGGATGAATCAGCAACATCATTTATTTTAATTCATCAAATAACATTTATCGAATCATTAATTGTAAACAACAAGTTCATAGGAAAGGTTTATTTAAATGATTGTCAGGATAATATAGAACTTAATGATACCGATGGAAATCAACATGAAAAGGATACTGATGAAATTATACATTTTTACTTTAAAACTATGGAAGAAAGAGATAGATTTGTTCAGTCATTACAAAAATGCAAATCATTTACTGTTGAAATTAATAGTGAAAATGTTACAAATATCCAACAAAAAAAGATTTTATCCGAACAACAACAAAAGCAACAATCAAATAAACCTAAAAGTTTTATTGGCACAAAAAGGGAATCAAAAAAATTTTCTCAAGTTAAATACCCTTCTGAGAGATCTGTAAATCAAAGTTTTTTAATGGGATCATTTAAAACAGTCAACAAGCCAATTAATGATAATTTAGAAAATCAATTAAACAATGATATTGAAAATGAACAACAACAAGAGCAAGAACAAAAGCAAGAAAAAGAGAAAGAAAAAGAGCAAGAAAAAGAGCAAGAAAAAGAGCAAAAAAAAGAGCAAGAAATTTTACCAACTCAACTCAAAGATAGTTTAGTCTTAACTAAGGAAAAAGAAAATGAAGAAGATGAAGAAAAGAAACAAGAGGATCAAGTTAAAAGAGAAATTATTTATGAAGATGGGGAGGAAGAGGATTCAATCGAGTCAATGAGTAGATTACAAGAAGAAATTAATAAACAAAAAGAAATAAAATCAAACTCACCAAATCTTAATAATATTAATAATAACAATAATAGTAATAATAAACATGTTACATTTGAGGATGAAGTCTCTGCAACTAAAAATAATGTCCAATCATTAAAAGTTATAAACTATAGAGAATCTTCTGAAGGAGACAAAGAACCTATTGTAGTTAAAAGACCAATTGGCCAATTTAGAAATCCAAACTCACCTCCTCTTTCAAGTGTAAAAAATACCACTACCACTACCACTACAACCACCACTACAACTACTAGTCCAACAACAACCAGAAGAGTATTTGACGGAAGTAGTAATAGTATTCAATTAAACGAATCAAATCTATTCAATAGCGGCCCAAATGTTAGAATTTCAAATTCAAAAATTCAAAATCAAGGTTTAATAATTGATCCAAATAACTATTTTATAATTCAAAATACAACCCAATTAAGAAATATAATAGGTAAATCATTAAGTGGTGATAATTCGTTCTCTGGTGTAATTATTGGCAAATTTAAAATTGATTGGAAACATTCACAACAAATTTGGGCAATAAATTTAGATTATAATCAACAACAGCAACAACAAACAAACTTAAATTTAAATAGCAGCGGTAATAGTATTGGTGACAGTGGCAGCGATTCTAGTAATGGTGAAATTGAAATTGGACCAGCAACTCCACCAAAAGAAGAGTTATTAAAAAGATTACAAAGGAAAAAAGAAAAAGCACTTGAAGAAAATGATACCATTTTAGCAAACCTTTTAGCTCAAAGACAAATTGAATTGGAAAAATCTCAAGATGAAACCTTTATTATGAAGGGAGGTATAGTATTGGGTTTTAGAAATGAAAAATGGGAGTTACTTGAAGCACCAATCCCAAAGAAGCTCACACCATATCATCAAGATAACAAGGTTTTAGAGGACCCAAATACCTCTCCATCATTAAATAGTAGTGCAACTGGTATTATCTCAAACATAACCTCATCATCAATTGTTCAAACAGCACAATCAATGACAACCTCAGTATTTAACGAAATTACCAAAGTTATTGATAATATTAATCAAGTTGTTGAGCCAACCATTTCAAGTATTGAATCAACTTTACTAAATAATAATAAATTAAATCAACAACAGCAACAACAACCAAAACAACAATCTCAACAATTACAACAAAAAATTTCAATAAACCAAATACCAATTGAGGAATTAAATTTATCATTAAATCAATTACAAGAAATTTATATAAAACCTTTAAAGAAAGCTGTCACAGATATTTCTGTTTATTTTGGTCATAATAATACTCAATTGGAACAATATTCATTAGGTGATGATAGTGTTAATAAAAAGATTGCAATTTTAGTTAGGGGCAGATTAGCAACAGCTGTAGCCAATATAATATCACATGGTTTCATTGTTAATGGTGGTTATTTATTTAGAGGAAAGCGTCATCTTTGGGAATTTATTGAAAATTATCGTAAAACCACAATTCATAACTCTATTGCAGGTATTTCACTTATCCAAACAATTAATAGTATTAATTCATTCGAATCATTGTCACCAGATTGGAAGGACCCAAATGTTAAGTTTAGAACATTGGTTTGCACAGGTTTAAATCAACATCTCTTGGACCAATGGTTTGCTCTTTTACAAACGGATACAAATGGCATATCTTACTATTATCAGCCAAATGCAATTATCAACTCTCGTGACTATTGGAGAATATTCTGCCAATGTTTTTCGCCAATCTTAAATTTACCATTTAAACTATCATTAGATTATGAATGTAAATTTATAAACTCCCCAACTCAACTACCAAACAATATAAATAATTCACCAAGTTTAAATAATAGTAATAATCACCTTAATAATAATAATAATAATAATAATGTATCATCATCACCAATGTTTTTATCAACACCAAAAGTAGAAAACATTAAAAATTCAATTAGTAATTTTTCAAATTCCATATATGACAATACGCAAAATATCTTTACTGAAATTTCAGAAAATCAAACAATAAGTAATTTAACCGAGTCAATTCAAACAAACTTTACAAATTTAACAAACTCTATTTTCCAACAATCTCCAATAATTCAAACCACACCAAAATCAAGATTAAGCGAATTACAACAAAATAGTAATAACAACAATAATAATATTAATGATAATAATAATTTGAAATCGCCAAGTTTAAATAGTATTAACACAGAATCACCAAAAAGAGTAACTTTTAAAGAAAATAATATAAACTCTCCAATAAGTAATAGTAGTAATGCTGGTAGTATCAGAAGCAGTTCTGAAGAAAATGAAGGAATCGTAAATAAAATCTCATCATCAATTCATCAATTTTTTGATGGTTATTAAAAAATATAAATAAATAAATAAAAATAAAAAAAAATTAATTGAATAAAAAAATTTATATTACATTTTATTAAACTATTAATCTATATATATTTTTAATTGTTTACTATTAACGATGTAATGTGGATGGTGGTGGAGGTGGAGCATTCATACGTTGATTGGCGGAGGAACGATCTGCATTCATACGTTCTTGAGCAGCAGAACGATCTGCATTCATACGGTCTTGGGCCTCCTTACGCTCAGCAGCCATACGCTCTCTAGTTTCTTTTGTCTTTTGATATTGTTCTGATAAAGACATGTTATGATGTGACATTTCGTGTTTCTTTGAAATTGGTTCAACTTTTTCTGGAACAAAACGTGGTGCATTTGGATCCTTAAGGAAATCTATTTTTAAAAAAAAAAAAGAAAAAAGAAATTAATAAACCAATAATGTATTAATAAAATAAATTAAATAAACTTACCACCAGGTCTTCTTTTAATTTCAGGTTCAATAAAGGTGGATTCAGGTAATGCAACTGGAGGTGGTCTTTCTATTGTTCTAAGAGATGATTTAACAGTTTTCTTTTCTTGTGGTGGAGGTGGGGTTGTAACATTTTGTTGTTGTAGGTTATGCTGTGGTGGGTAATGTTGTTGGTAGGATTGTGGTGGTGGTGTTGTTGTTGGTGAATAAACTTGTGGTTGGGTATAAGCTGTAGTTGGTGGAGTTGTTGGTGAATATACTTGTGGTTGGGTATAAACAGGTCTAGAAGGGGCTGGTTTTGAAATTTGGGGTAATGGGTTTCTTACTAAATTATTATTTACTACTGGGGGGTTACCTGCTCTTAAATGGGAAACTGGGCTTGAGAAATTAATTGGTCTTTGTAATGAAGCTGAAGATTCATTTAAATTTGAATTTAAAGATTGAATTAAACTATTAAAAGAATATTGAATATTTATAATTGGTATATCAAATTGATTTACTCTATTATCAAACTGTTGTTGTACATCTTTAAAAATCTCATTCTTTAATCTCAATGAATCACTTGGATTTGTGTTACCTAATCTTTCTATTTTTCCCTTAACTGATTCTAATTGTGTAATATATCTATTGATTGTTTGATATTGAGTTTGTTGGTCCCTTGTCCATGTATCAAATGTGTTTTTAAAAGAAAATAGCAAACTACCGCTAAATGTACCTATTGGGTGATCGTTTTGATAACCATAGTATCTATTTAATAAATTTAAAGTACTATTTTCGTTTAAATATAATTCTTTTAAATAAAATTAAATAAAAAAATTAATAAATTTAAAAAACTTTAAATCTAATAAATTTCAATATATTTACCTCTAATAGTATTATTGTGATAGTTTAATGAGTCATTAATATTTAATACATTGTTATATAAATTATAAAATTCGTTTTTTATTGTTTCATAATTTTCATCATAGTTTGAAATCATTTTATTTATATTCTACTTTATTATTTAATGTATTTGTATTATTATTATTGTATTATTATTATTATTATTTTGAAAAAATAAAAAATAAAGGTCTTTAAAGCTTTTCATTTTTAAAAAAAAAAAATAAAAGAAAAAAAATAAAAAAAAAATAAAAAAATTAAATTGTTTTTTTTTTTTTTTTTTTTAAATTTTTATTTTTTATTTTTTAATTAAATTAATTTTTAGGTTGTTGGAAAAAAAATCTTGTGTTTGTGGTGTTTTCGTTGTCTTTTAATAATTATTAATTACTTGTAATTATTATAAAACATAATTTTTACAATCCTTTTTGAATAGTTTTAATGCTTTTTTATAATCCCAGTTATTATTCACCAAATAACACTTTGCCTCTTCTGTTGGAATATTTGTTTCTAGGATGAATAAATTAATTTTTTTTCTTTTTTCTTCTTCCTCTTTGGTTGGTGGTGAAAAAGATATTATATTGGTAATAAATGAGGGGGTTTGAGGTGAAGTTGATCTTTTTAAAATTGGTGGTTTGCTTGAAGGCAAATTGGGGAGTGATTTTTTATTATTATTATTATTATTATTATTATTATTATTATTATTATTATTATTATTATTATTATTATTATTATTATTTGGTACTAAAGGTACAGGTTTAACTTTTGGTTTAAGCTTTGATGGAGAATTTTTATTAATATCCATCCTATTATTTATACTATTATTATTTAAATTATTATAATTAAAATTATTAAAATTATTAAACTTATTAAAATTATTAAAATTATTATTTGAATTATTATTTGAGTTGTTATTAAATTATTATTTTTTGAATTATTTATATCATATTTAGAAATGAATTGTCTGGTTCTAAAAAATTAAATTATTATTACTAGTTTTTAAAGTATTTAATTCATCCCCTCTCTAGCTCTCTAGCTTCATCTTTTAACAAACTAA